GTGTGTGTGTGTGTGTGTGTGTGTGTGTGTGTGTGTGTGTGTGTGTTTATAAACAGGCCTGTCTGCCTGTAACTCAGTGCTGAGTGGATATGACGGGCTCACTGATGGTTTGTTTTAAGTTGGATTCTGATGCTGAGCAGTTTGTGTGTGTCTCTGTGTGTGTGTGTGTGTGTTTGTGTGATGGTTATTCTGGGCATACAGGGTTGTCGGAGCGGATGCCCACTCACTGCCAAATGTCAAACTTCCACCACCCGTCCACTGTGACATATGTGGAGTGTTTGAATAAAGAACGCTGCACACACTTAGTGTGTCGTGGCACTAATGGGATGTGATTTCTCTATACTGCACTTGAATGAAGGCTCATCTGGAATATACACAAAGTTTACACTGAGACAATGGTGCGGTAACTGTGTCTAAAATTGGATGCTGAAAACCTCATGTGTTGTAGGGATTTCAAGTAGAGTAGGAGCCGTTTGTTATTTACCGGTTTTGTTATTGACTGCTTATACTGTAAACAGACAGTGGTGAAACATCCTGAGTGGATGTGGAAGAGAGTTATGGAAGAAGACATGGGAGCAGAAAGAGAACAAAGAGAAGCAGTCGAAGCTTTTTACAACAACCAATTACAGAGTGACAAATTCCTTTGACCCTGATATGTCATCAGCTCCACAGTGTGTGTGTGTGTGTATCCTGTCACATCTGCTCCTCATAACCTCCCGTCTCGTCCTTATCCCGAGGGTACAGCTGTGTGAGGTACACCACGCCTCTCAGACTTTCGAAGCCTCTGCAGGGATCCTCTGTGCAGGAACAATGTCCGTCCATGGCTCCTGATTTTTAACGGCTCTGGGATTCAGGGAGCAGCTTTAGGGAGAGTCAGTGAGACAATGATGATGATGATGATGATGACATCCCTCTCCACCTGTAGCAGTTAATTGACTGTGTCTGCCAACACTGTCACATATTGACCCTTGATTAGCTGTTGAAATGCATCCAGATCCTCTCATCCAATCAACTATCATTGAGAGAAACGTGAGCTTAAAGGCTCATTTAGCTGCTGCCATGATGTCTGGATACGAAAGAAGGAAATCTTACCTGCCAAATGAAAAAAAGAGTTGAAGCTGAACACTGTCTGCTACAACCAGAATCAAATCAGTGTCAAAGTGTTTCACAGCAACTATCATGGCTTCTGCAAATATGACTAATCAACACATATCTCTATTGATTAACTGAAGTAAAAATGCATGCGTGTAAGAATAAAACCTGAATAATAATGCAAGTGAACAAACAACAGATCGTTTAAAAGATGAATGAAAGTAAAACATTTACTAAACATCCAGAGTCAGCTTTAAGAGATCATGTGTGTGACATCTGCAGTTGTTTCACTCAGAAATTAATGAAAGGCGAAAGCTGAGAAAAAATGATTAACACATAGTGTATTCAAAGCCGGATAGTTTCAGTATACTGTAGCCTCTGATATCACAAGACCTTAGTTATCCTAAAATGCCGTCTGCTAAATCTCTAAAAGTGCAGCTGAAAACAGCTTCATTTACTATATCACGTACTTTAATTACTGAGCCTTTTGTGAACCAATAAGCTTGGAGCTGTGGAGCGGAGAACCACAGACAGGATATGAGAGTTGGAGAAAATCTTACGATGCAGACAAAAGCTCTGTAGATTTTGGACTTTTCATGGATGTAGTTGACAGTGTCAAGAATATAGATTATCACCAGCTTTGTTCTTTACTCTGTAAAGATCAACACTCTCTAATCCTCAGGTAAAACTTTTCAGTTTGAGGCATAAAAAGTGATAGGGAGCCTCACCAAATGTTTTTCTCCTTCACTTCAGAGCAACTAAAAGGCTTGTGCCAAAAGACCTGAGAGGCCTCTCTGGTTCATACATAACAACATCATTCAGGCACATTGTTGCAAGAATCTGTAATGCTAATAATATTTTTAAAAGAAAACCAGGAGCTAATGTAATGACTTTAAAATAAAGCTACTGATTTTATACACTATGATCTATGTGTAATTGTAATGGGAGAACAAGACCAGGTCAGTTTCTGTTGTCTGCCTTCAACATGGAATATTAACTGAAACACAGCCTGTCAAGAACATGAATTAACCAGTGGTTCCTTCTAACCCATATCCAAGCTGCTGCTGCTCAGCAAATCCTGAGGAATAAACGCAGCTGCATCTGACAAAATCAACACACAGTTAAAGACAACAGGTATGCTCTGATTTTTTCTATATATCCAGGCAACATGATCACTTTGAGTAAAGTAGGGGACAGAACATCTTATTTTGTCTCCCACAGACTAGGTAACTTACTGTTGCAGGCAAGCTGCAACAGTAAGTGTTGTGAAAAGTCATTAAATGTTTTGAAAAACCTTGTCTCCTTAAAGTTATGAGACTCTTCTGCCAAAAATAAACTCATATGTGCTGTGATGTAAATAATAAAGTGTCAGAATTGACGTTAAGCGGAGGTTGGGGTTGATGGATGGGTCTATGATCCACAATCTTTTTTTGAACCTAACTAAGTAGTTTTTGTGCCTTAACGTAATCAAGATGTGAACATATTCCACAACCTTTACAGAATATGTATTATTGCTTCCATGACAACAAAGATTTAGTACTCCTGCTATATTGGCATG